ACTAATGCACTAGTTCCAGTTGCCAAACCAATAATAGCTAAATGGTCGTATAAATAGGAACACCACAGGTGTTCTGCTGAGCACAGGCCACCATGAATAACAATTCATATTGTGTGAAGCATAGCTGGAAATGTTGGTAATAGAAACTGTGGTACAGGAGGTTAACAACATGCCAAGCGGGTAAGACTTAAAGCTCTTAATAACGACCAAAAAAAGTGTCTTTTATGAAAAGCCTTAACAAAATAAGCTTTGACATTCATCAGCTGTGCGTTTTAAGGGGTGAGGTTTTCAAAGGTCCCGAAGAGACACTTCAGTCTCACCGAGCTTCAATGGCCGGTGGACTCAGTCCCCTGAGATGTTTTGAAGCACCATCCAAATTTCTCCACATCTCAGTTTTGAAGGGGTTCGAGGGCAGGAGTGTGTCAGGATTTGGCTTTGAATAACGCTATGTGCAAGCTGATGCTTGAAATACTCAGTGAAGGGCCTCCAGCTGACACACACATCTCAGCGATGGGCGAGGCACCACGTGCAGACCTGTCTGAGCCTGCAGCCCCTTGCACCCCTGCGGGTTTGTCCACAAGCCCCTTCCTCAGTATTTTTATCATCCATATTTCAGTTGGTCCTGGGGAGGGGTCACGGCCAACTCATGTGGTGAGGTGATGCTGCAGCATGCAGGTGTGGAGGTTCTGATGATGTTACAACTTTGGGATACATTTCCCCGCATACCTTGCCAGTGGTCCCAGGCTGCCAGGAGCGTGACAGCTGCGTGGGGAGGGGGGGTTCTGCAGGGGCTTACCCCCAACCCAACCCCCATCCAGGGCTGGGGGAGCACGGCATCTAATTAAAGAAAGGCTGCCTGCTCTGGGACGTCTCCCAGCTTGCCACTGGCATTTCTGTGATTGACAAACAGGGAAAAACGTATTTGTTCAAGGATTATCTATATTGAAAACTGGACATGGGATTTTGTCTTTGTAAACAGTGCAGTAATATCTGCTGTTTGAACAAAAGGAAGGGTATACTTTCCTTCCATTTAAAGCAACAAAAGCACCATATTTAAGTGAAAAGGGGAGACATTGGATTTTATTGATCCTGCTTGCTGAAGATTTTATTTTTTTAAAATAAGATCTGTGACTAAGGGAGCGGTGGGTTGATCTGTACTTTATTGGAAGGGTTATTACGAAGCACACAGCATGTAAGTTATTAAAGAGATGTGTACCCTTGAAAACAGCCTTTAAAATCCTGCGCAATTAGGAAAATTCAGAATGATCCAGCATATTTCCTCATAGCGAGAAAAGTCACTTTGATATATTGAGGACTCAAAATGTAACACTGCATTGCTCTGAATAATAATTTTATTTTGAAAAGCCACATTTGAAGAGAGCCTTTTGTTACAGATGGGAACACAGCTACTTTCATGGACCTAAATTAGGCTACAGAGAAATAGCTCCTTCAAAAATGAACACCCTTATTGATAGTTTCATTGTTGCTCAGACAGCTCTTCTCCTGTCTTCTACCTACAAATAATCCCACAGATGTTCAGATATCAAAGGACCAAGTCAGTACATTAGCGATAGATGTTGGCCAAGGGATGAACAATACACAGGATAAAAGACCTTCCCCCAAATATTTGTTGGTTAAATCTATTGTTTATGCAAAATACTGAACTGACTGCCCTCTGAGGTAGGTCTTTTTATCCACAGAACAGAAGTAGAATGAGTAACTGAAAATTTTCACCATCATTAATACGCTTTTATTGTGCTCTGAGAGACAAGAGTGGTAGTGCAAGGGTCTTGGTTCGGCCAGCTCAGCACAGGACCTCTCTTTTCCTAGGACTTGTGCTGACTTAGTGGGACTCATGCATGTGCTCAGGACTGCTTTCCAGAAACAGCGGGTCAAACACTTTGCCGAGCTTGGGCTAGGCTTGAAAGCAATGCTCCTTGTCTACTTTTTCGTCCCTCTTCTCTGAATTGATGTTGCTAACACAGTGCTGTGTCCGGGAAGCGGCCGGCATGCAGGTGGCAGTGCCATCACCCTCGTCCCATTTCCCCACGACCACCACAGTGGACACCAGCCTTGGCATTGCTCAAGAAGACCCAGCAAGCAGTCCCTGTTGAATATTGCCTTCTTGGCGCCTTTTCTGATTTCTCCATCCTTCCTATCGTAGGATGCTCTCTGGTTCTGGGACAGTCTCCTTTTACACTGCTTTCTACCCATCAGGCATGGCTTGTTCTCATGCCCTATATTCTTTGGTATGTTTCTTCTCCCTTGTTTTTTTGGTCCAGACCCTCCATGCAATTTGTCTTGTATCTACTTATACCTTGAAGTCAAAACCCACCATGCTGATACAGAAGTTTCATTGCCCCTTACACCTGCATGGGTCTTCTTTTGGGATCAGAAAACAGGTTTGTCTCGAGGAACAACTGTTGTATCCAGAAGACATGGACTCTAGCTCTGCCCCCAATTAATGCAGCAGACGTCAGCGAATCATACCGCCTTTCTGCCTTGGTTCCCTGGGGTGTATAAAAATGGGGTTTTACCTCACAGCAGCATTGTGAAAATTAATTAATGTTTATGAAATATGTTTAATACATAGGGGATGACCTGATCATGCTTATAGTATGATTTCCAGTAATGTAATTCCATTGACATCTGAATCCCTTTTTACACTAGGATGCACATGTTCAGAATTAGGCAGAGAAATATCTTTAAAGAAAAGGCAGTTTCCTTGAGAAGAATTTAAATTAAATAATCATTATTACTTTGTAATTTATGATCTGAACACAGTCCCCTATTTTGGTAAATAAAGCTCAGATGATTTCTTGTGATGTGCAATATTGTTAAAATTCAAATATTGTTGAACATATGTTGTTTTTCTGTTTAGCTGCTTTTTTCTCTCCTTCAATCAAATATACAAGATTTTTTTTTTTAAGGAAATATAAAATATTGAATGCAACACTGATATCTTACAAGTTTCCATCTGGACAAAGATATCACTGTCTGATTTTTTTCCTTGCCTTAGAAGCTGGTCAGTTAGCTGAACTCAGCTCTATTTCTTAAGCTTGCATTATTAATTTTGCATCATGATAAGATATTTGCTCAAAGAGGCAGCTAGTTCTTTCCTTTAAAAGTGATGTTATTTGAAGGAATGACCACACTTCTTTTTCCCCAAATGAAGTTATGCAAATCTGATCGACTAAAGTAAATGTTTCATAAAACCAATGACTGTTTAAATTGTGGGACTAAATTGTTTGTATATAAATATTACCTTTTATATTCCATTTGAGTTTTATGTAGATGAACACATTACTTTAATGACCTGCATTTACAGAGGGAGACAGGGAGAGTCTGACTCTGAAATCCGCAGCAGCCAGATGGCTGCCTTTTCTTGCATGAGATTAAAAGATGTTTCTCATTCACAGCCCTGCTTCGGAGGCAAATTAATATAGCCAGCTAAATTGCTTGTGTTTTTGGAATAAAATTTAAAGAGAACTTTTTAAAGCAATTGGTGTCACAGGTTCCTAGAGCAGATTGCTCTCCAGGTACAGCATGCTGGTTTTAAACATTCAGTAATTAATGGAAAGTATTCCGTGTTAATTGACTGCTTCAGGAAAGGGAAATATAATGACTCCTTATTAATCATGAAAAGAGACATACAGCACAGAGGCACTGCAATAATTGCACTAACGGTTGAGAAATGTTAATTAATGAAAAGAACAATGATGTAAGAAATTAGCTACATAATGCTTGCTGCTGATGGAGATTGTGCTCTAAACACATTATTTAGCATGGCAGCCACTGGATGTTGCCTTAAATAGCAGGCACCTCTTACCTTTTCCTTCAGTCAGCTACGGAGTTCCAAATGTTGCCGGTGTTTCAGTTTTTAATGAGCCAAAATGCACTCTCCAAAAATACATTTTCTGAAGCGTTTTCAGCTTGAACTCCTGAACTCAAAACTATTCAAACAGATTGACAGCATTTGACTTATATAAAAATATTATCCAAGTGTAGGAGAGCATGTTACTGTTTGTATGATGGGGAAAAGCTTCTTGTTAGATGGGCTGAGCTAAATAGGTTTGTCAGGAAGATAACTGCATCATGACTTCTTCCCTCTTTTTAATTTTTCCACTTTTTATCAAATTACCTATCCCCTGAAGAATTTAGAGTTAGCATCTTGTCTTATATGTGCCTAGCTTGATGTAAAAATTAGTAGGGTATTAAAATGCAGAACAGTTCTGGCCACTAACCCAACATCAGTAGTATGGAGCTCACGGTCATTAACAGGTTGAAGGCCCCAGCATTTCCACCATCACTCTGTTGCACCTTTAAAACAGTAACAGTGAGACGTACCCATCACTCTGAACACTTTAGAGCAGGTCAAACTATTGGTTACAAAAAAATTGGCTAAAAGTGTAACTCTTCTTTTTCTGTTCAGGAACTGCGTATTATTTGTGCAAGGAAATGTCAGCCTGTGAGGCTTTCGAAAATTATTCACAACAATTTTGGGGAATTTTGGCCACCTAAGTCACATGTTATCTTGGCTGTATGGCTAGGGGATGATACTAATTTATGACAAACAGTAAATAAAGGTAGAACAATAAAAACATTCATTTTAGCTCTACCATTGCAAGAATATTATTATAGATGCAGAAAAAAAATAAAATTCTGCTAAAAACATGCTAAGTGAACATTCATCAAACAGAAAATGCTCGTATAAAGAACAGCTCTCAACAAGAGGCCTCCGTTTGCAATAGCACAAGACAGAAATACATTCCTTAAGTCAGTGGCATCACAGTGATCTAAAATGATCATAGAGGGGGAATCAGTCCACAGTGTATAATAACCCAATAGTGCAGTGCTTCATGTATCACAGGATACGGACAGGAATGGTTTCATCCCTCATCCCTCAACTCATGTGCTGGTCTTTGCTGATTTTCCCAGTGCAGCTCTTTTATGGCATTCCTCCACCCATGTGTTTTATTGCTCCTGAACTTCTTTTCCAGATGGAACATCCTTGGGCTCCAAGGTGCTCTCCTCAGCTCCTTCATTGAACCCATGTACTTGCACAGCATCATTGTGGGAAGCCTCTGGCACACTGGTCACCTTTCCCGGGTAATGAGCCATAGAACAGAAGACATTGGTCAGCTGCCAGCTTCATACCGGCGCAATCAGCTGCTTCTCAGTGGTAAGCAAACACCTGCCTGCAAGACAAATGATCCTCTCTCCCATCAGTAATTGTGCCAGTCACCAACAGGAAAGTTTATTTGTTTGTAAGTAAAACATTAGCCCATGCCTTTTTTTTTTTTTTCTGCAGAGTATGAATTTGTAGAATGAAAAAACTTATGCATTTAAATCCAGTTCCTTTTCCATATGCAATGACCACAAAAAGGATCAGTAGTGGATATAAGTTGACTAGGAAAACTAACACTGTAAAAAGACTGCTCAAAGTGGAAAAAAAGTATGTGACAAAGTAAAAGGTTTATAAAAACCAGGCAGGAAGCTTTCAGTAAATCTAGGTTTAACTCTCTCCTGTCCCACTCTCCCTCATCTAGCAAGCATGCAAATGTGTGGAGTCAGAAGAACCAGCCCTCGCATCTCTGGCCCTGTGCGTGCAGCCCCACCATCCATGCCCCTGCTCCCTCACCACTTGCTAGCCACCATGTTCAGAGCAGATGGCCATAAGAAAAGGGCTGTTCATTGATGCAAGAGACCTTGCCTGCTCAGCAGACCTTGAGAATGCATTGCTGCCATCTGACAAGGCTGCTGCCTGTTGTGTGAGCATCTCCGTGGTTTCAGGCTATCTTTTGGGCTACTCTCACTGTCACCACTTCTCCTTCCTAGCCCCCGTCCCTAACCCAGGTCTTTGATCCTTTCTTCTCCATTCCCCTGACTCTTGGTTCCTTAACCACCAGCCAGGCAACAGCTGTCCGGCCTTATCCCAGAAAAATTCCACAGTCTTGAATGCCTTCAGATCCTCATGAGGCATGTGAGTGCTGAGGACCACCAGTTCTGCACAGGATTAGACCCTTATATGACTTAGACTCTGATAATTGTTCTTCAGAAGGATTCTCTGAGATGTCAGGGTTTCAGAGATGTGAGGTCAGGATGCTTTAGTAGAGTACACCATGAGCTTTCAAAGTCCTGTAGGTTTCTCAGTCACGAGAGTGCTATTTTATCCCTTATCTATTTTGTGTTCTTTTTTTTTTCTTTTTTTTTTTTAATGTGTCCTTGTAACAAAATTAGTTTGGTGAGGCAGAAGTGATAGTTTAGCCACTGGGGAAATTCTCAGGTTCTGTGTGGTTTAGTAGATCTTGTAAGTGTAATGTGCGTGTGCGTGTTATGAGGTGAGTAGGTCAAAAGGCTTATCCTTATTTGAACAGCTTATCTCCATTTTTTAACTCCGCAGTGCAGCTAACCAAAGACTGTGCAATGCAAGGATGCAGGAAACTGTGTTCCACACTCCTCCTCCACCCCATGACCCCTCCTGACCCTTCTGCCCTGGTTCAGCCTGGGCATGACTCGCCCCTTCATCCTTCACATGCCACCTTGTGCGATAGAGGAAAGGACTCTCAGCTGGTTGGGAAAAACCTCTCCATTTTCCAAACCTGGCTGTTATTTTGGCAACACAATCCTGTTTGCCAGAAGCCTCTGTGTATCCCACTGGGGAAGCTGATCTCATTCTGTGCCAGCCCTAATTCATTTTAAGTCCACCCATACATTAAGATCAAAATCACATCCAGTTTCACTGTGTCTGCAGGATGTACAGGGAAACCCACTTGAAGGACTGAAACCACAATAAGGGAATTAATAAGAGATTTAACTGCAGAACAGTTATTGCTTTGCTAGGTTGGCCTTGCAAAGTAAAAGTAATGCCTCATATTTGGCCCAAGTGCATATTTATATCCAAGAGCCATTGCCAGAGATTTCAAGGGAGTTAGAAATATATCAGAGAGGCCCTTGTGTCACTTGAAATACCTGCATGTTTCATGGCTGGCTTCCTCCTTCCCAGAGACTTCTGTTTGGAAAAGGTTTTGCTTTGCTTTCAGTTGTGTTTGTGGGTTTTCTTCATCCTAGAAGAAGCAGTGGGAGGAATCTGTCTATCTCTGTCTACATTGTTTTTGTCTCTAAAGCCATTATTTGTAATCTTCCCTCCCCCACAAGTCCCAGGAAGCCAATACTGCTTCAAATGTATGTTGTTGAGGCCTGGGCTGCATATTTTTACCTGGAAAACTGTGCCAACAACATATCCAGTGACTAAGATGGGCACCTAGCAAAAGCCAAACTGAATGCATTAGACACCAAACCTCGGCAGCCTCAGCCAGGAAACTCCACGTCCCACGTTCCTTTCAGGGATCAGACCAGCCAGGGATTTCAAATTGCAGGAGTCCTTCAATTATAAGGATGCTGATTTTGTCCCTTGATCATAGTGGTACAAACTTTTCAATGAAGAGGAGAGCCACTGTGTGGGATAACTCCTTGGCCCCACAGAAAAATAATCAGTGAGGTTTTCCACTCACACCGGTCCCAGCCAGATGATGAAAATCCAGTTATTCACTTGGCTTACTCTTGGGTGTATTTTTTAGAAGAAAGAAAAGCCCTGTGTCATTTGTATTTCCTTTTCTCTTAAGATTGAGGCCATTCTAAATGGTATCCTGAAGAGGCATGATGCTTTGCTAGGAGAGAGAGGAGAATGAGAACAGATTTCAGTTCATATCCTACAATACACAATTTTATACTATTTGTATGAAGACTTTTCCTTCCATTTTCTATGGTCTCCTATTGTACACTTTGTTACGTTGGTTTTAAGGAGGATGTTTTACATAAAAGAGAGAAATTTATCTAGATTATTTGGGTGTTACCTTTCAAATAAAATCAGAACAATTATTTGTCAAAAGAAAAACATGAAAAAAGTGTTTAAAAAGGATCAAAAACAACAATCAGAGAATACATCTAGGCTCTATATCTGTGTTTGTCGTGAGTCTCACGCTGTTTTCTTTAAAGCCTCTTCTCCTGCATTTGGAAAATTATGTGAAAATATCTTCTACTTACTTAAACACATGTACTTGTATATATGATAGCTGGGAAGAGAAAGACTGAAAGCCAAACCAGCACGGACAGTGTCCCAGGCACTAGGGCAAGCTCCCAGCTCTCATAGACATCCACCAAGAGCAGAGGGAGGTCCCAGGCTGGGCAGAGGTGTACACTCCCCATCTCCCCCTTGACAGGCAAACACAGCCTGCTCTGTCTTCCATGTAGCCTTTCATTTTTTTCCTCTGCTCAGTGTTTTCACAGTATTTTTATTGCTTTAGTTGCCTGTGGCAACTTTACATAGCAGCGTGTTGGCTATCATGGTTTTTGGCACTTAGTCCTCTACGCTTTTGGGTGCTATCTTGACAGAGAGTAGTACGTAGTGTCTTACAGCCGATTTGGATCTATTTGCATCTTGTTCTGTGTAGAGACGTTTGAATAGCACCAGAGAGCTATCTGATTTCCAAGGACTCCGTTTATACCATGTTGCCTAGGTGAACTGCACTTTTAGATGCAGACTGATTTGTTATCTCAGGGGCGAAAAAAATTGAGAGAGGTAGTAATACAACATGAATGTGTTTACAAATCCTGGGTGAGGTTATGACTTAGCTATAATTCCCTTCTACACACTGTACCAAGTTCAGTCCCAGTGACTGAGATGATTTCTGCAGTTCCAGCTTTACCGCCGATACAAAGTGGTTGTGCCATATGCTTTTTCACTTCAAGGGCCACCTTTCTCTCTCTGCATGCTCAGTCCCATCTGGCTCTTGCAGCTCCCTCCCAGGGCAGAAGGGACAGGAGGAGATAGGGAGCATGTCCCTCACTGACATTGCTTCCCATGATGCTGAGAGGCCCCAGGCAGGAGGCAGGAGCTGCCTACAGAGGCAGTGTCCCTGCCACAACTGACCCTGCACAGCTCTCCGCTTCCCATGTGCACTCTCTCAAGGGCTTACCAAGCTCAGCATGTTTAACGTGGTGACAAGTGTTGCATTCCCACCAGTTCCCATCTCCTCCCATTCTGCCTGAGATCAACAAATGCTCATGGTGGGCATCTGTTTCAAAAACGAGATCCCTGAGTGAGAAGGGGCACTTGGGAAAGGAGGGTCTTTGATCTCTCTTCTTTAATGTCCTCCTCTCTGAACAGCCCACATCAGTGCTTCTCCCTCTCTGCAAAACTTCTCTGAAACCCTTCAGCAGAAAATGCAAAAGACGTTTCTCTTTTGCCCTCCACCCAGGAGCAATGAAGCCAGGTCCCATTAACCTATGCAGACCACGAGCTGATGTTGGAGCTGTTGCAGGTGGGCCGCTGCCATTTCGAAACAGAGATCCCACCCTGGTGCTGGCCTGTGCCAGGGTGGCTGTGCCAGGAAGCTCCTGCCCACCAGCATAGTCCCCACCTGCCTGCTCACCACAGTGGCTTTTGTTCTCCAGGTTTGCAGGCTAGTGGCCCACACAGCAAATTGGTAGAGAGGGATTCAACAGCTGGGTCCAGACACATCATCCAATGCCCACATTTTCCAAAATATTCAAACTGCTTCAGGTCACTCTGTCTTTTCCAGCCTTGGAAGCTCCCAGTGTTGATTCTTTGCTACCATAAGCACTAATGAGAAGGCCAAGGCAGAGCTCACTTGGTTACCTTTATCCTGTGCTGGAAAATAGACCAACCACTTTCTTTATTCCTATTTCCTTGCAAAGACTCACCCTTCCCTGGTTTCAGGTACAAGAAATGAGAAAGTGACAGGAGTCAAGGAAAGATTTAACTATACTAAATGGTTAAGAAGAGACAGGAATTTACCTGATTAAAAATAACTGTCTTTCACATACACACCCACACCTGGCCTTGCAGCTCTGATCTGAGTTTAGAGCCAAGGGAGATCTCAGCCATGCAGGCAGTGGACTACAGTGTGTGATTCAGATGTCCAAAACTGGCCATGTGAATGACAGAAAGGTCATGCAGTCACCCCAGGTGACTGAAATCATCATCATTGTAGTGGTCTAAAATTAAATAAGATTCAGTCCACTTATGTGGATATTCAAAATATTGTTGTTAGGACACTAACTAGCTCTTGAAGAGATTGTTGCACCCATACAGGGTAGGAATCCTGCAGGCAGACACAAGGTGGGGAGCAAAAGTTTTCTGTGTAGGTCTGTGATGTCTACAAGGTCATTATTAACTTAGTTCTAATAATCTCACTATGATGATGAAATGTGTATTTTGTATTTTCTTAACTCCCATTTATACCCCTATGATCTAGACTTTCTGTCACAGCAAAGGCCCCAGCACTTAATAGCAGATAAATATGCTGGACCGTGGAAAGCTCACATGGAGGAACTCATGGCAAAAGCACTCTGCTGCTTAGTTCCTTTCAAAAACCAGTTATCCCATTGAAGCCTTTCTGAAAAAATTCACCCAGCAACTGTCAGACTGCTGTCAATAGCATGCACTACCACCTAACGGCTTTCCTTAGGCTCACGAAAGGTTTGCCTGCAAGGTGTAAAAAGATCTATAGGAATTGTTAAATTATGTCTCTCTAAGGTACTCAGCCTGGTTACATTTAACCGATGGTGACAATAGCAAAGACAGCACACAATGTCAGGGTCTTTGCTCAAGGATGTCTCATGTGCCACAACGACCCACCCACACGTTAGCAGCCTCTGAAGGTTTTGAGCACTGGATGTTACTGATATCCTTCTCTCCTGCCAGGGGTTAGCCACGCTGATGCTCGGCAGCCTGGAAAATCTCCCAGCTTCAGTGTGAACTGGATTGTGGGGAACACCGATCTGGAGGTTATCAACGCCACGACAGGGAAGAGGACCTGTGGGAGTCCCTCACGGCTCTGCAAGCACATGTTCTTCACTCGATGGGCAAAGCTTCAAGGCAAGGTAGGTCTGATGCACTGACTAGTCCTTACACCAGTCAACCCTCTTTTAGCAATCTCATGATGAAGTTGCAGCCTTTGCAGGTGTCCTGCGTCGCTCCTTTTAGGGCCTGGGAAAGGATCAGGAGCTGAGAGCCTGCAGGGTCAGTTATGGGAGCTGAGAGTCCAGAGAAAGCCAAGGACAGAAACGCAGGGGGCTTTGGAGAGGAGACAGGTGTTCTAGATGTCCTTGGCAGTGCAGCCATGCTCAGATGAGCAGTCAAAAGCCAAGAAAATGCTAAGCATCCATACAAGCACCACTGGGTAATTTTTTTATGCATCTCACCCCAAGTATCCCTTTGACTTTAAAGGGAATGTTAACTCACCAAGTCTTACAGGCTTGAGGGAAGCATTTCTCATCACTGTGGAGGCATCTACCTCATTTAATTGTTCCACAGGGTTTAGACTCCCAGACTAAACCACTCCAAATCTCACCCAAGTTAGCTGACTGAAGCAGGTGCTGTGGATTACTCATTCCCCTCCTCTTCCCCACTCTCCCAGATGTGCTGATAAATCTATACAACAATACAGCTGATTCTCTCAAGGTGAGTAGACAGGTGTTGAAGGTTCTCTGATTTCATTACACTCAGCATCAGTACAATTTAATGGCATTAAAACTACAGGTTGTACTTAATTAAAATGGCCACCACTCCTTCAGCCCTGCTTTCTCTAAGGAAGTTAGCCATGAACTCACCGTATTGGAAACGGCACTGAAGTCAGCCTGCCATCACTCTTCGCTTACTTCCCACAGACAGGAGACAGTGTCAAGACAGATGGATGCCCGAAAACTACAGGGTGGAGCCTAAGGATGTAGGACATAGAGGAAGAAGCGTGATGTGGAATAAGGAAATTTTCCTCTCATTATTCCTGATTCTGGAGTCACTATTTCTCCTCTTGAATGACCCTTCTAGGAAGTGCTGGGGGAGAGGGCACAGACACCAAGGTGGTGAGCCTGACCCCACCACCTTCAGGAGGAGCATCAGGGAAAATGCAGTGTCTCTTCAGCCCACCTACTTTCACTGCCAGAATATTAATTTGAAATAAGGAGGCTTGTCAAGAATTCTCCTGCAGTCCCTGTGGAGTGGGAGAAGACAAAGACAAGAAAAAATTTTGTTATTTAGTGCCAAAACCTTTTTCCTGTTGGGAAACAAGTGGAAAAGAACAAGGCAGAGTGATGGCAGGGAAGTCTGGAGCCATTTCCACCAACAAAGTCATTTGGGAAGGCAAACAGATATGTAGGGTGGGGAGGTATGAGGGCAAGCCCAAATGGGTTGTTCTGCTCTGCAGAAGACCCCAGGGAAGGAGAGGTCTTCTTCAGAAGCCAGGCAGTGGCATGACCTGTCCTAGCAGGGACCCTGAGCCTGTCAGGCAGCAGAAGGGACCAACCTGGGATTCATGCCCAGGACTCAGTCACAGTTTGGTGGCACAGGTCCCAGCCTATTTCTTGCACAGCAGGTAGCATGGGAAGAGGGGTGAGAAGTACTCCTGTTGCCTCCAAAATGCAGGGATTCTCATGGGAACAAAACCTGGAGCAAGTTGGGCCACAGGGCAGGCTACAGCCAGGACTATGGCCAGGAGAGCTGGACTGCATCTGGAAAGGGGCTGGGGTGAGCAAGGGGGAGTAACTCATGGATGAGCAGGGCACTTTGCTTTTGACAAAACAAAACAGTTGATAATGTGATCAGTGTCCACCTCTGGGGAGCAAAGGGACAGCTGGAGGCAAGCCATCACTGGCCAGGCCAGTTTGTGGCCTGTTGATGCCCACAGTGGCAGTGTCACCCTCCCTTGCTGGCTGGGTCAATACAGCCCCGGCCAGAGCAGCCCCACGGTGTACTGGCACCACATGGGCTGGAGCAGCTTATTTCAGGCTGCGCGCTCGGTTTTTCCTTTAATCTGTCTTTCAGCATCTCTCCTTTTTAGAAAGAAGGAAAAGAGCGTTGTTTGCTCACCAGGCTGTGCTTTGAGGGTGCGTTTTCCTAAAGGCTGCTATTTCCCTTAAGGCATTTTCCAGACTTCAGTTTCTTTCATATAATGTCAAAGCCTCACTGTTGTTTTGGCACTGTTAAGACTTGGGCAGGTCAGAGGAGGTCATTTATCTAGTCCTTCTGCAAAGCAAAGGGTGCTCGCTCCCATGTGTGTGCTCCAGGCGATGAGGGGCAGTGGACATGTGGCATTGTCTCCTGAGGCAGCTCCCAGTGGGTGGCTCTGGTGTCCCAACAGAGCATTTGGTTTTCCCACACCAGCACAAATCCTGATGCCTGATTTCTGCCCTATCCTGGGCACATTTCGCAGCACTTCCAACAATAACAGATTACAGAGGGAAAAGGGGAGAGTGTGGGAGGGGACCCTCCTTCTTGTGTCTCTTGGCATGACTTGGAAGCACTGAGCTGCTTCGCTGAACTGAGCACATTCTTTAAAGATCCCCTGAAAGGACTTTTCCCTTTTTCATCTCTAAAAATCATCTTAACGGAGAAGAGGGTTTTGCCTTTGTAAAACACACCAAGATTTGCCACTGCCTATGCCCACTCCAAGGCAAAGCCGTTTACCCTGTTCCTCTTCACAATGACTCAAAATCATGTCACAAGCATTTATTGCTTCCCTGTTTTTTTGTTGGTAAACCAAAAGCAAACACACAAAGCACAGTGATTGTTTGTTGCTTATGAAAACTAGACAGGAAGATTATACAGCTACTGAAGCCTCCTGTTTCTTTTGGCTCGTTGGTTGATTTTTTTTGTTATTATTTTATTTTTTTCCCCTTCCCTGATTTTTATTCTGCAGCTGAGCACACGAATACCAAGCCATGGAGACATGCCATCAGTGTACAGCGAGGCAAAGCTGGTGGCTCAGACATACCAGTCTGTCAAGCAGCAGCTGTTTAAAGCGTTTCAGAAAGCCGGTCTGGGCACCTGGGTGAAGAAACCCCCAGAGCAAGATCAGTTCCTACTAACTGTATAAATCACTTGACACCTTTGCTACATGACTGGATCAAATCAGCTGGAGAGAAGGCTAGGCAGGACGTGTAAGCCGAGAGAATTGAAGCAGTTTGAGATTTAATAGCAACCTCCATGGGAATATTTGCTTTTAACTCTGTATTGGAAATACGTAAATAGAAATGTGTCTGATGCACTGAACTCAACTTTAGAAAACTGCTTTTTCATGATCCCTTCCCAAGAATGTACCTGCCTGAATTATGATGCCATCTCCCCACAAAGATTCTGCTTTTCATTTTTTATTGCTGTTGATTATTACTGATTTGAGGCGTTAGCGGGCCACCTGTCTGATCCAAAATAGAGTTCGTTTTCCCTCACAATAGCAGTGCAAGAGCCATCACTGAATAATGGAAAATAGTGAGAAGAGGTGGAAGTACCCCAGGCACACGGCATGTCAGCAGGTCTCAGAGCATCCATAATCATCCACAAAAAAGGTGTCTAACCTCTATGCAAAAATCATCCTGTTAGCTGCCTAAATCTGTGAGAAAGAATTTGGACCTCAAAGATATGCAGTATTTTTAAATTCCATTTTCCACTGCTGGCTCTGAGCACAAAGCCAGGCATCAGGATTCCCTTGGTTTCTACCCTTATTCCCTCTGACGCCTTGGACAAATACTTCCTACCAAATCTTCAAATCTGGCCACAAGTTTCGCATGCTACAGATTTTAATTATCCAGGACCAGTTCATCACACATGCCCTTTAGACACCAGCTAGGATGCAGATGGTCTTCAAGAGGGTGACTCAACGCTGCGCTGCCTGCAGAGGTGCACAGCTCGGCAGGGCTGCCGATGAAGACCAGTGTGACAATGCTCCTAGCTCTGGAGCTTCAGGTAGCTGCCTAAAATCAGGCAGGCTGGAGCCAGGCCCCAGAGCCTCAGATTTCCAAGCTTCTGACAATCCACAGCTCTAAATTAAGTAGGTGTGAGCTCAGGATGCTCCATACATCTCAAAAATCACTGGATTGGGTAGCCACAACTGACACATCCCAAACAAGACAGCACGTTTGATTCTTGCCTCAGTTTCTCCACCTGTCAAATGGGGATAATAATACTTACCTGCTTCACATCTAAGGAACTTGGCAGGATCAAAGTGCTCAGGTCATATGCAACAGTGTAAGGCAGATTTTGTCACTCTTGCAGTGAGTTTTACTGCCTCACACAGACAAATCCACGTAAATGCAGCAGATACAACTACAGGCTTGGGGAAGGTCTTACTCACTGTAAGAGCTTTCAGATTCTAGCTGTGTGTAAATGCCAAGTATTATTATTATTTATGTTCATCTGCAGCCTGAAAAGCAGGTGGGGTTTTTCAGTTAGGAGAGGCGTAGAACCCAACAGTTAAATATTTTCTTCATAACTGTGGCTGGGTCTGATATAATCTCATCTTTGAACCATCCCAAACTTCATAAGAATGCAGAAGATACAGTCATGGGAGAACTGAGCTTTGGCAGTCCCACTGCAGAACCAACCTTCAAATGCCCTGTACATTTCTTTCAGTTTTGGGGTTTTTAAATGACAGGATTTGCGGGTATATAACTACTGTTTTCTTTTTATTCCTGTGATTCTCTTTAAATCTGTATATAACATGCTGCTACTGATTTGTGATAATTGTCTCGGTTTTTTCTCAGACCTGTCAAGCTGAGTTACTTTTCAAATAACACAAGGCTCATATTTTTCCATGTAATTTCCTTTACACGGGAAACTGTTCCTATCAATAAAGATAGATGCTCTTTGTATAGGGTTTATCATGTTTGGAGAGCCATATACATTGTTTATTGATGCCCACAATAGAATAGCTACAGTATTTTGATGAGATTTTATTTTTAGATTATAAACTACAAGATGTATCTATAGTGTCTTGTATAAAATCAATTGTGATAAACTAGAATTTTTAAATTAGATAAAACAATGCTCTCCCCCTCCAGAAACCTTTTCAGCGAAATAATACATTCCATACTAACTACCAAAAATATTTAAAAAAATATCCTTAGAGTAGAAATAGTTTAAAAAAAAAAAAACTGAGACATTTCAATAATGGAAGCATTTTGTGGTAACCACTTTGTCAATACTTTGACCACTTTGTCAGCTCTTCTGATTAACATTCAGAATGTTTTTGGCACCTTCTAGAGCTTCCTGGTACCTCCATGCGGTCCCGTTCTCTAACACAGCTGTCACTGGTGCAGACCTCCAGTGCGATATGGGCAGCAAAGGTGCCCAGAGGGGCAGCGGGCAGGCGGGGGCTCAGGTCCATGACTGGAGGTATAGAAGAAGCTGTGGGTGACACTGGCTGTGGTGGTCCCAGGGGCTCCAGCTGCTCCCACTGTGGGAGAGAAACCATAGGGCAAACAGAGAGGAGGACAAGGTTTCCCATGAAGAGATCCACAGGGCAGGGGGAAGTAATGTCTTCTACTTTTCCTTTCCAAGTTAGTCTTTATCTAGCACTCAAGAGACCTCAATGGCTCCTCCTTACATCTCCCTGCCCTCATCCATCCTCCTCCAGCCCTGGCATGACATCAGCTCAACTAATGCATATAGCTCCACAGGCCAGTGTTGCAGCTACCGTGACAACAAAACACCGTGCCTGGCTATTTTTAAGGACTCTTTCTTTGAAGAAAAGTGTGGTGGGATTCAATTATCCTTTGTTGCAAGAAATACATAAATGCAATCCCGGATTCAGCTGCCAGAACGAGTTTAGTAGTGGAGACCGAACCAAATCCCCACTGCAAGTGGGCATCAGCTGATCTCATTGAAGGCAATGGAGTTGCAACTGCTTGCACTAGGGTTGAATATGACCTTAAATGTCTACTTCTTCTCATTACATGCAGCGATAGAGTGTGATGGGACTGTATCCCAGAAGCACACAACCTACACGCAGCATTTCCTGAAGCAAAGGAAGAATTGCTCAGTAGTAATTCTTTAGTGAAGGTTCTGTACATAACACGCATGAGTGAATGGCAATACTGTACTAATGGATGTACATTTGTAATATTTGTAAAAAAAAAAAAGAGAAACAAAAAAGACAACAAAATAAAATAAATCTGAATTTACATATGTGAATTTGCTGCTAAGATCTGTAAATTGCACTTCAGTGATACCTGATAAGTGAATGTTTCTGTTAAGTGAATAAAATGCAAAGTAAAATTGTTCTTTCACTGTTTGTTGACTATTTTTTCACTGTGACTTAGCAACTAACTTGAATTGTGCTCTAAAATGCTAGTATGTATTTTTATACACACCTACTGTAGATCTATATGCATGTTGTTATTCAGTTTGCATTTAATACATTGTAGGATTCACACACCTGTATTGAGAGATGGATGTGCCTGCTCAGGTAAAAGAAGCCATAAGGGACACAGTCTTATCCTGCAAGAAGCGTCAGCTGGGTTCATCTCTAATTTGATCCTTCCAGGTTACTCTCACAGATCTTTCTTAATAAAAATTAAATATGTTTTTGCAAACTCACACTGCATGGGACTTGCTGTATAAAGCTCCTTAAGAAGACTAAAGTGATAAACAAAAGGTCAGTACGCCTCTGCAGATTTCTTCTTCATTGGTGGAGTGGCCTTGGTTTTTTCTTGCTTCAAACCACCAGTATTCAGCTACAGCAGACTAAAGTCACACTGACCCAAATGAAACCATCCACACAAAGGTTTAACATGCATTATTGTATGAGCATCACCTGGTGCCTTGAGACTGTTTCCCTCGGCCAGTCCTTGTAGACATCACTGGTGTTGCCAAAGCCTCCAAAGCCTCTGAGAAGCACGCACTGTCAAAGTAAAAACATACAAACAGTGAAAATTTTCTAGAAAGAGATTTCCCTGTCCCAGCCCTTGTGAAGATTTGGTTCCAAGATTAAATTGAGACTGATACCTCACAGGGAGCCCCACCAGTTTCCTGGCTCCCAGCTCTTCACTTGTTCATGTTGAAGAAGTTAGTGCCGGACCCACACAGATAGTCCCATGGTTTCATTCCCCAGCATAACAGGTCAGACTCTATGCATAACTTTATTTTCTAACTAAGACTTTGCTGTAGTTGCATTTCCTTAGCTTGGATCTATGTCATTTTGTATTTGGTGGGATGAGGAGGAGGGGGAGAAGAGAGAGTTCACAGGGTGAAGTTGTCTGTGTGGAAAAAAGTCACCATGATCTGACCCGATTCCAGCAGCCATGGTGGATTTTTTTGCCTTAAATAGTAAAAGCATCAGAATCTCAGTATTTGTAAATCTCAAAGTGTATTTGCACACATAAATTTTACTGCTTTAACTGGATATAGGTAAAGCAAACCCCATAGTCTCATGCTCATCACAGCCCCAGACACAACAGTTACTTCCCTACCAGTAAAAATGGTCACAGCAGCATAACACTGTCCTAAACAGAAAGGGGAGAAGTTACACTAGTAGAAAGCCAGCTTGTGCCACTATGCACTCTCCAGGTGATGAGAATGTCATTATTTTTGTCTTAAAAAGAAAATGTAAATGCCCGAATTCTTAATTTGACGAAAGCCCTGCATAGCATTGGCTTTCCTCACAGAGGGGCACCGAAGGGGACGAGCTTAGACCAGCCATGGTACAGATGCAGGGAACAAGCACAGCTTTGGCTACGAAGAGCAAAGTGTGGAGGTGAGGAGGTCCCTACAGGGGCTTCCCAGCAGCCTGGCAGCCCCTCAGCCCACTCCTGGACAGTTTGGCCATGGCTGAGTTCACAGCACGAGGCTCCCAGACTGTTTTCTCCTCCAAAAGTGGTTGCCACTGCCTGACCATGGCAGACACCGTGACACAATTTGGCTGCCGAAATCAACTACAAAGCAGTCACTAGGGTAAATTGTATGGATGGATTCTGTGTTTAAACTCATTAAGTTTAAAGGCTAAATACCAAAACTGCATTTAAAATTTTACAGGCGTACACCCTAGTGTCATCAGGCACAGCTATCTCTTTTCCAACTGTATATTGGAAAAACAACATAAAA